TGCCCCTCCTGCCTCCTCCCCACCTTCTACGCTGTGCCTAATACCCATCAGGCCTCCTTGCACCCGGCTCTCCTCCTGTTCCCATGCACTGGCCCCTGGCTGTTTCCTTAGACCACCCTGCTCTGCCCCACCCCTGCTTCCCTCGTCTCCCCCTTCAGGTCCCACCAGCCCTTCGCAGCTCTGTTCAAACGCCACTTCCCCGGGAGACCTTGCCTTGCTCTTTCCAGTTTCTAAATGAGGGCTCCCATTGAGAGGTGGGGACTGGTTCGCTGATTTGAGTAAAACCAAAGGGACGCTCCTTTCCCTCCCCCACTCCTGTGTTTCTTCTTCCACAGCGCATCAGAGCCTCAGAGGTGGCCCCAGGACTCCGCTACTTTGGCACATCCGTGGATGGTGGCTTAGATTTGGATGGCAATGGCCTTGATGACATCACTGTGGGCGCAATTGGTCGCGCCACTGTGCTCCGGTAGGGGTCTGTCCTCCCTCCCAGGGTGCCAGACCCCAGCCTCACCCACTTCCCTGCTCTAAATGACCCCATGAAGATACCAGGCACTGACAGGAGAAAGTAGGTGGTTAGGGGCTTGGCCCTTCTGGGTTTGAGCCTCAGCTCTCACTTGACGCTGTGAGCTTGGCCAGGTTATTGAACTCTAAGTCCCAATTTCCTACAAGTGGGAATTAGTAATAGTGCTCACCTCAGAGGGTGCTGAGGATTAACTGAGAGAATCTATGCCAAGAATTTAGCACAGTGCCCCATGGTGGCTGCCGTTATTATTACCATGAATTTCAGAGCTCCTGTGCCCATCCCTAAGTGAATCATCAAGCACCTTGGCTATAAATAAGCTGGTGCGGCACCTCTCTGCCCAGGCTCTCCACTAAGCCCCAGACTTGGCTGTCAACTCAATACCCCTCCTTGCCGTCGCTCCCAGGCATCTCAGTCAACATGTCGCAAATGGGCCTCCTATTCTCACCCACTTCTCCTCCCCCAACCAGCCGCCCTCCAAGCTTCCCATCTCAGCAAATGACACCGTTTGTTCAGGACAAAAACCCCATGAGTCACCCCTGATTCTTCTTTCCCTTCCCGTGCCACCCCATCAACACTTTTTTTTTGTTGGCTCTGCCTCCAAAATACCTCCCCATACAAGACACTGTCGCCTCTTACCTGGATCATGGCCATGGCGGTCTTCCCTGCCTCCACGCCCTGTGCCCCATTCTCCACATAGCAGCCAGAGCGACCCCTTCATCCTGCTGCTTAAAACCCCTCAGTGGCTCCCACTTAGAGTAAAACTCAAATTCCTTACCATGGCCCACAAAGCTCTCCATGGCCAAAGCTACTCCTCCCTCCCCATCTCCTGTTACTACCTCCTGTCTCACTAACTGCTCCTGTCATGCTGACCTTTGTGTTCCTCAAACCAGGCTCATTCCTGCCACAGGCCCTTTGCACTAGCTGTGCCTTCTGCCTGGAAGGCACTTCCCCTAGGTCTTTACATAGCTGACTCTCTCTTGTAAACAAGTCTCAACTTCAGTGTCTCCTCATTAGTTAGGCCATCCCTGACTACCCAACCCAAGAAGCCCCCAGGCTCCAAGACCTTAACCGATTTTATTTTTATCATAGCATCACCTATACATAGCATTTTACTGTTTCTTCTTGTTTATTTGCTTGTTGCCTATTTGCCCAGTAGAGCAGGGACTTGTCTCTTTCCCTTCTGTATCCTGAAGACTCAGAACAGCAGTGGCACATTAGAGATGTTCAATAAATATTCATCAAATGAATGAATGAGCCAAGCACTGACACAGAAGTCCTACGGTCACTTCTCATGGTCCTCTTTGCTGTCTTATTTAGCTCAAGACCTGTGCTTCGCCTGAAGGTGTCCATGACCTTCACCCCCAAGGCACTGCCCATTGGCTTCAACAGCAGTGTGAATGTGTTCTTGTGTTTTGAAATCAGCTCTGTGACCGCAGCTGCCAAGTCAGGTAACAGGCAGCCTAGCTGATCCACCCAGTGCTGGGGTCATTCCTCGTTGGCTTCGGGGCAGAGGGGCAGGGTAGGTGTGTTAGGAGGTCCCGATGTTTGAAATCCCTCTATTGGAGCTCAGCTCCTGTGACATTAGGTTCTGTTTAGTGTGAACTGCTCCAGAAAAGGGCAATCTGCTGTTAAGTCCACACTCTGCAGGGGTGTCTCTGGCCCTGCTGGGAAGAGGGGCGCTGGATCCCTTCCTCAGGTGCGAGGGGTTGAGTTTCTGAAAGAAGACTCAGAGAAAGGCAGCTGTTCCTCCATCTACCCTGCCCACGTGTGCGCAGGGGCTCCTGCGAAGTGCCCTTCCCCTCTCTCTGATTCCTGCCTTCTCCCCTTTGCTCCTCACTGTGTCTCCCTGGCCCAGGTGGGATTGGACAACCTGCCGGAGGCCTGGCCTCTCTTCCCACCCCTTACCTGGCACTGGTTGGGAAACTGTTTCTAGAAGGCAGAGGGTAGGCCTGGCTTTCACAGTTGCACTTACTGGCAACTAAAGAGCTCCCCTCTAGAGTAATCCGTCAGCAACAGTCCCCAAGCTGCGGTGTCTCAGTAGCAATCCCTGAGATGTCTCTCTGGCTCCTGCAAGTGAAAACACACTCTCCCGGGTGGGTGGCTTTACTGCAGAAGGAGGCCATTGTCACACATGGGTGGAGAAAATGCCAAGCCTACAGTTCCAGCCGTACAGGCTGAAGGACTCAGGCCACAGAGCCCCCGCGGCTGCTGCTGAGTGGCTGTGTGACACTAGGCAGATGTCTTTCACTCTCCGGTCCTAATTTCTGTTCCGTACATTAAGGAAGTTGGCCCAGGTAATCCATAAGGTGCTCTCAGCTCTGCTGTCCTCAGGCTTTGCTCTGTGGTCTCACTCTCCATTCCCTGGATTATCCCGCCTCTTTTCTCCCCTAATCCCAGCCTCCTGGCGCAGTCCTCCGTCTCCTAGGGGAGACTGCCTCAGCCCCGGGAATGTGCTGCTCTGGGCTTGGGGCTGGGGCACTGAGGGACCCTAGCCAGGTGCCAAAAGACCCTGAGCAAAGTACCTTTGAAGTGAAGAGCCCCACAGCCCCAGGGAAGCGCCCGAGCGGAGCCGCACCCAGGGGGGCCCCCCCACGGGCTGGGGCCCTGTGTCGGGGCTCCACTATCCCAGCCTCAGCAGGAGGTCTGCTCTTCACTCCCAGGCCTCAGGGAGACATTTCTGAATTTCACGCTGGACGTGGATGTGCTGAAGCAGAGGAAGAGGCTACAGTGTTCGGACAGGAGAAGTTGTCAGAACCACCTTCAGGAGTGGAGCGGCGGGTCCCGTCTCTGTGAGCCCCGCGTGCTCATCCCCATGGAGGGAGAGGCAAGTGAGGGGCTTGGAAGAGTCCAGAGGGGTCTGTGTTGTTGAGAGAACTGAGGGGTGTGCGATGAAGGCTGTCTGTTCCTCCCTACACGTTAGACAATTAAAATGATAGCAGCCCTGGCTGGGCGGCTCCCGCACACCAGGAGGGTGGTGGGTTTGATCTCTAGTGGGGTGGGGGGGGAGTATTGGAAGCAGCTGATCAATATCTATCTCTCTCCCCCCCCTTCCTCTCTCTAGAAATCAATAAACATATCCCTCGGGTGAGGGTTAAAAATAATAATAATAATAATAATAATAATAATAATAATAATAATAATAGAGAACCACATACTGGCATGGGAGATGGAGTTAATTATACCCGAAATCCAAATGAAAGAAACCTACTGAGATTGAACACTAACTGTGTCTCTGAGCTGCCCTGCATCTGCACAAAAAGGGAGATGCTCTAGCCGCTGCTTCTTCTCCTCCCCAGGTCATCGGCCTCGCCTGGTAACAACAGTGAGGCTGAGGGGCCTTCTCTGAATCCACATCAGAAGAACGGAATGAGAGAAAGTAGAAATAGAAACACAAAAGTTGTCCTTTACAAAGGTTTACTCCTGACAAAGGTGCCTAGTGACAGGAAAAAAATGTATTTGTCCGGACTCAGGACCTAGAACTTTGGACCTATAAGGATCATTTATTCCAACAACCTCATAAATTATGCTTTTGACTACAGTCTGTTCCCACACCCGCTCCAGTTGTTAATTGGATCAGGAATGAGTTTCTAGCGAGTCCACGGTTTCTTTGAATAAGAGCGCGCTCTACCCTCTCCACAGGGGGTCTCCCTCATCTGCCGTCTCGTGCTCAGAGCTTCCGCCCTGGCAGAAAGTCTCACTCCGAGAGAAGGGAAATGTCGTCCCAGGCCATCTCTTTATTCGGGCTCTTCCGTCTCTGACAGGCCCTCCATGCTGCTTTGAGAAATATCTTTGTCACACAGATGTGACCACGAGTCTTCCCTTTCACGCCTCCCATTTGCTCTCTGAATAAAGCCAAGTCAGTTTTTGACTCATGATGGCCAGAGCCCCTTTGGGGTTGGGGTGGAAACCATAAGGAGTTATGAGGCCTGAGGCCATAGGAGATCCAGGGAGGTTTTTCCAGCGCTCTCAGCAGCTCGGTTAGATGAAAGCTTCCCTTCAGCCTGGCTTATGTGGAAGAGGCTTGGGACTTCCAGCTCACCACTTTCATTGTTTATTTCTTATTATGGCTACACCAAAGTTAAAGGTCTTCTCCTTGTCATCTTCTCCCCACATCCAACTGCAACTCTGCGTTCCCTGGTGGCTCTGCAGCTCTGTGAAGAGGACTGCTTCTCCAACATTAGTGTCAAAGTCAGCTACCAACTCCAGACCTCCAAGGGCCAGAGGGACCACCCCCACCCTGTCCTGGACATCTACAGAGAGCCCTCTGCCGTCTTCCAGGTGACTCTACCCACAGCTAGAACCAGACCCTCCAGGAAGCCATCCCCCAAAAGCACCTGCTCCCCTAACTTCAAAGAATGTTAGAATTGGGAGGGTCTTCAGACAGCATTTGGCCTCCGTGCTGCACAAGTGGGCCTCACTAGGGGGTAAGCACACCTCCAAATTACCACCCAACGCTAGTTCCTTCATGTTCACAGAGTGCTTGCTAAATATTTAATGAAGCATATGAATACATTGCCTGCCTTGGCAGGCTCTCTGATGGCCATGTGGTGGGGGGTCCCGTGTCTACCCAGGGCCTGCCCAGGGCCTTCAGGCCGAATGTCTGGCCCACCAAACCTATACCTTACCAGGGGTATAAGCAGCAGGATCAATGTGTGCATTAAAGGGTAATAATTACGGTCAGCTGGAATGAATTGAGCCTCCAAAATTAAAACTAAAAAGCCAATAGTAGTTCATGCTGGCACAGAAAAGCTTCAGGTAGCATTTTACCCAAATGTTCTATGTTAATTAAATTATACAAGATTTTAGCTCCAGCTTTGGGCAATACCTAATGTATTAATCACAAATAGTAAATAGAGCCCCGGCTGGGTAGCTCCGTTGGTTAGTGTCATCCTGATAGGCCAAGGTTTCGGGTTTGAATCAACTAATGATGCATAAGTAAGTGGGACAACAAATCCATCTCTCCCTCTCTCTCTAAAAACACAAAACAAAACAAACAAAAAAACAACAAATAGTAAATAGAAATAAGAGAGCAACATAAGCAGGGTGACTGTTTTCACTGCTCATCTGCCCAGGAAGAGAGGCAATCACGTTCCTCTATGAACAAAGATTGTCATCTTAATTTTTTAGGCAAGAGACTTTATTTTAAATTTATAATAGTTTATTTATTTTGTAAAGAATTTTTTAAAAATTGGTATTGACAGCAAGTTAGATGCAGAAAAGATTGGGAGAACTAATATAATAAAGTTTTGTCAATAAGCAGATTATCACTAATTATATATATTTTGTTTTTAAATTTTATTTTGAAATTGTTGGCTTACTATAAAGTTATAAGAATAGTCCAAATAATCCCCATGCATTCTTTATCCAGATTTCCAAAATGTTAACATCTTCACAATTCATCACGTTTTATCACTCACATTGTTTATCGTTCTTTCTCACTATATATACAGACAGTACACATATGTATATACATGTACATTACTCACATTACACACATTTATATTTCTGAACCATTTGAGAGCAATTTATAGATGTGATGCCTCTTCAATATTCAGCATATATTTCCTAAAAAACAAGGACACTCTTATACAACCTCAGTGCAGTGATCAAAACCAGGAAATTAATAATAATGAAATGCTATTATCTAATTTATTTAAATTTCATCAGTTGTCCTATTAATGTCCTTTATTGCAAAAGAAAAAAATCTTTTTCTGCTGGTCCAGGATCATTTATTGCATTTTGTCATCACTTATCTTTGGTCTCCTTTAATTTGGAGCTGTTTCTCAGTCTTTAACAACTTCAGCATTTTCAAAGGGTACAGGCCAGTTAATTTGTAGAAAGTTTCTCAATTTGAATTTGTCTGGTGTTTCTTCATGATTATATTAGGTTGTGCGTTTTGGGCAAGAATTTCATAGACGTGATGTCCTTCTAAGTGCATCATATCAGGGGCCACACTGCTTTGACCCATTACTGGTGCTCTTCCTTTGATCATTAATCAGTATCTTATGGAGAGATGCTTTGAGATTATGCACGTATCCTGTTTAACATCCATTCACGATTCTTATTTTAATCCATGATTACTTTGATGGTTTGGCAAAGAAAATTTTTATTCCACTCGTAAAATGGATGAGGAGGGGTGCTTTGGTGTTAGTTTAAGCACACAGATGTTTCCAGAGAATGAGTTCTGGCTGGGAGCATAAGGTAGTTTAACCCTGCTCTCTCACTGGGATTAAGTGAAAGAGAGCAGGCTACTTGGCTATATTAAAAACAAAACAAACAAACAAAAAACTTTGCCCCAAACTGTTGACCCAGTTGGAGTATCAGGCTCTGACTTCTGCAAATCACATCTCCCTGCTCCAGGAAGTAGGTTTCCTTTCCAGCTCTGGGCTCCAGTCCCGCTCCAGGCCCTGGGCGCATCCTTGCATTAAGCTGCTGACGTGGTCAGTGGCCGCTGGGGAGATAAATGCAGAGATTTTCCAGTTAAGGAGCTGGCTGTTTCCTTCATAATAAAAAATAAACCCAGATTCTTTAGAAACTTTGATTTTTCAACTTGAACTAGGGCTTTTCAACCTTGACTGGGCCTTTGGACCCAACGTGACTCTCTGAGTTAGTTTGGTTTAGTATAGGCAAGATTGCTAGGGGAATAGTTAACCTCCAGAGAAGACTAGCCATGGGGTCAGAGGGCGAGCAGGACTGGACTGTGACCGTGCTTGGTCAGGTGTCCTTCATTTGTGCCCCTGCTGTTCCCACCTCTACTTGAAAGGACTAAGGAAATTCTTCCTCACATAGGTTTTCCTCCCCAGAATTTCAAAGTACATAGTGAGTTGTGAGTGTTGCTGCTTAATTCTCATGATAGAAATGTGGCAGGCATATCCACCATTCCATGAAGGTCACCCCATTTTTGACCTTGGCGAGAAGCCTGACTCATGGTATACCTGTGTAGGACCAAGCACACCCCCTGCCTGACAGACTGTCACCTGTCATCTGTTACCTGACTGTTCCTCCTCTACCCCTGACAGATCAAGGAATGTCACAGTCACAGCCATGTGACAACCCCAGCTGTCAGCCTTCACCTGCCTGTAACTGCACTTCTCGAGTAGCAGGGGGGACAGGCGTGTCCTAAGATCACGAGGCAGGCTGCTGGGGATGCGGATCCCTGGGCTGATCCTGCCCCTGTCTCGTTACAGCTGCCCTATGAGAAGGCCTGCAAGAATAAGCTGTTTTGTGTTGCTGAGTTACAGCTGGCCACCACCACCTCTCAGTGAGTCAGATCCAGTGATCACCATTTCTGCAGTTAACTTCCTCCTGACGCTTACCTGGGCCAACCCTTCATCAGGATCAGTTGCTCACTCCCTTCTCCTTCCCCTTGTGGCCCACAAAGGGCTTTGCATTTATTATCTCATTGCTTCCTCAGCCACCCCATGGGGGAGGCAACAGAGATTTGCTTTCCCATTTTATAGATTGGAGAACAGACTCAGTAGTTGAGAGCCTGCATGGGGTCACAGGGGTCATCTTGTGGACTTGAACCCAGGTCTCTTGACAGCCCGGGCAATGCTATTTTCATAACCCAGTGTCTCCTGCTCCTAGAACCACCTCAGTTAGAGGTACCCTCTTCCCTGACTCACCTCTTAACCAAAGTACTTAATTCAGTAAATATTTAAACGTCTACTCTGTGCCAAAAAATGGAGCATCTATTCTGTGCCAAGCGCTCTAGGTACTGCAGATACAGCAGTGAACAGCACAGACACAGAGCCCTGCCCTCCTCCTGCTTTTAGGGGGAGAAGATAATAAGTAAATAGCATGTTGTCAGGATGTACCATGAAGAAAAGTGATGCAGGGAAGGCGGGAGGGAGTGCTGGGTGGAGGTGGGGTGGCAGCTTTAAATCGAGTGTTCAGGAGAGGGCACGCTGAGGAGGCATTTTGGTACACGCAGGAGGAGGGCGAGAGATGAACTATGTGGGTATCTGAAGGAAGAGCAACTGCCAATGCCCTGAGGCAGGAGCACACCTGGAGGTGGGAGGAACGGCCAGGACAGCAGTGTGGCTGCAGTGGAACGAGGGAGGGTACTGTGTGGGCAGGGGAAGGTCGCATGGGCTGCTCAGGCTTTTCCTGGGAGCTGGGAAGCCAGAGGAAGGAATGATCTTTCATTTTCAACCCAATTATTCTTGCTGCTGTGTTGCAAGTAGACTGTAGGAGCAAAGGCAGAGGCAGGGAGATAGTAAGGAGCTCTTATAACAACTCAGGTGAGAGGTCATGGTGACTTGGGCCAGTGTAGTAGCAATGAAGGTGGTTATACTCTGAAGTTAGAGCCCATAGGATTTGATGGCACACTGGATGTGGGGAGCGAGGGAAAGAGAGGGGTCTAAGACGTCTTTCAAGGTTTCAGATTGAGCATCTAGAACTGTGCTGTCCAATTTAAATTAATTAAAATTAAATAAGATTAACATTTCAGCCCCTCGGCTGTACTATGCACGATTCAGGTACTCAATAACCACATGAGTTTGGTGATACAAACAACACAGCTACAGACCATTTCCATTACTGCAAAAGCTCTACTAGGCAACACTGAATTCTAGGATGGCGGTGATGTTGAGAACTGAACAGGGGAAGCCTTTGGAAGAAGGCTTTGGAAGGCAGGGCGGGGAGGAAAAGATCACGAGTTTGGTTTGGGACACATGGTGGTCTTACAATGCCCTCCTGGCTTCTAGAGCTGCGTGTGTAACACGGTACTGATGGCTAGTGCTAGAGCTGGTGCCGTGGGGAAGAACACTGCTCCCTGAGTCCTGGTAAGTCTTCTCATAGACATTTGCAGGACTTGTGTCTCAAAAGTGCCCGGCTTAGCACTGCCCACTCAATTGCTAAGGATCCAGTTTAAGACTTTTGAGTGCTTTGGAATCCAGCCTAACAAGCAGACAGGGAATTAATTACAGCCAAGCATGGCCCTCAGCCAAACCTTGTGAAGTAGGGATATAGCACTCACAGCTGGCCCTACATCACCCCCTAGTGTACATAGCAAGCAGTTGCTTCTTTTTTCAAAAGTAGCATTAAGCCTAGTCTTTAGCATCCAATAGTTTCAGTGGTTTCCGACCTTGTTGTGGACACAGATCTCCCAAAGAATCTAAAAAAACTATGGAGCCTTCTCCCTAGAAGATTGTAGGTGCATACATCAGTGTTTGCATTCAGGGCCTCTGAAACTGTCCCTGTTAAAATATTCTGCTGACTCTCAGACATTTTTTCTGGGTTCTAGAAGAGTATATCCAACTGACATTTCAGCTTCTCTACCTTTTTATCCTATAAACACCTCTGTCCACACCCCAGACTGAACTCCTCTGGTCAGCTTCCACCCTCTGCCCTTCCTCCCACGGTCTCTCCTTCATCGGTCATCCTGGCTTTAAACTTGGGACTCGTCCTGAGTCCTCTCTCCTTTTTGCTCTGCTCGCAAGTGCGGCCTTACCATCTCTGGTTCTATCCCTTCTCTCCATCCCAACCACTACTGTCTCATTTCAGGCATGTGTCCTCTCTCAGATGGATCTCCACAGCAGGCTGTCTCTGACCCCTCTCTCCCTCCAATCAATCTGTGCTCTTCTCAGCTGTGACAAAAACAAAAACAACACAACAAAACACAATGGTTACTTCCCAGAGCTACATATTCTGCCTTTAACTGTTTCAGGTGGTTAGAAAGTTTTCTTTGTACTGTTGATACATTTTCCTACAGATTTCAATAGTTCTGCACTCTGGGGTCCCATAGCACCTCGGCCAACTGAACCCCCAAGTCTTCTCTTCACCAGGCTGAGCAAACCCACATTTTAAACCATAGCCTTTAAATTGGAAGGGCCTGAGTGATTTTGTGGGTGGGAAGTCAGAAAAGGGGCAGGGCAGGGGCAGTGTCTGTGTCGTGCACCGCTGTTTCTCCAGTGTTGAGCAGGGTATCTGGCACAGAGAAACTACTCCATAGAGGTGAGATGGATGGATTTGGGTAACGGAGGGCCTTGCCTAGGGTCACAGAATTGGTGGTAGAAAGGGGATTTAGATACAATTCTCCCAATTCCTTTTTGAGGCTGTTAGACCTCAGGCAAGTTAGTGAGCCTCTCTTGGCTTCTGTTTCCTTCTCTATAAAACGAAGAATCGCCGTCCTATTAGTAGGGTTTTTATGAGGATAAGTTGAGCGTGTGAAGCATTTTGCACAGTCCCTGGCACACGGGAAGTATTGAATAAATGGTAGCCATTATTATGTCACACAGAACTGAGGTGGGTATGGAGGTTCAGGTGTTTGCCTATGTTAAGAGGAAGAAAAGAGGCTAAATGTATCTTTTATGCAATTTATCTAAGGAGTTAGTTGAATGTGCTATTGCAGTGCATCGAGGTTTTTACAGAACAAATAAGCTGGTAACACTTATCTTTTGCCTACCCTGTGCAGGAAGGAATTGGTGATAGGTGTCACAAAGGAGCTGACGATGAACATTAGCCTAACTAACTCTGGGGAAGATTCCTACATGACAAGCATGGCTTTGAATTACCCCAGAAACTTACAGTTTAAGAGGATACAAAAGGTAACTATGACAGCAGTTTTGGGAACATGCCACTCAAGGCTTTTCCTCCCTGCATACCTGCTTTTTTATAGCAACTTCCTAACTCCGCCTCCAGCCTCATCTTGGTGCATCTAATAAATGATCTAAATTAACTAGTGGATCCCCTCCAATCCAACTGCATGCCATGGATCCAATCATGCCATTCTCTGTCTCACAAACTTTCAATGGTTCCATTTTGCCGCATGATCACTCCTCCCTCCCTGCCTGCAGCCTTTCTTAACCCAGCTTCTGAGAGAGAAATAATCTCTAATAAATTATCTAGGACTAAAAAGTAAGCCTGTTCTGCCATTCATCAGCCTGGGATTGCAGACACAAAGCCAACTGCAAGATACGAGGAAATGGTATTTCTCCCAAGAACCCCCTGCAGCTGTCAAGTATCATAACACTGAGCAATTCTGTTCTCTAAAGTCATTGGCAACTGGAAACTTTGCTGTTTGAAGCTGTATCTGTAATTATGAAACCATCTCACTCTTGTCTGGAGAGTCTAAGTCACTTCGACAAAGAGAAGCAGTCTGTACGTAAAGCATTTCTGGACAAAGCTTTTCGCATCCATCTGAATAGTTTCCAAGGAAATGGGTCCCTGGGTCCACTTTGCAGTGCAGACCTGATGTTGAGTGACCTTTTGCACACAGCCCTGCTTTACTTTGAGCCTATCAAAACACTGCTTCATTTACATTTCACCTGACACCACCCTTGCCCAGAGTCCTGTAATAACTGCCTTCCTTTGTTTGCTAAGGCACACCAGTGCACTTTTTCTCATTGTAATGAACCAATTAACTGGCTTTGTCAGACTACTGGTCTGTCCCTGATGGTCTTAGGCTATTTGCTCCGGATAGCATCCATTACATAAAAAGAATGAAATGATCTCCTAGCATCTAGAATGGAACTGATGATGCACCTTCCTTGGGAGAATTAAGGAAATAGTAGTTGCCCAGCTGGTGTGGCTCAGTGGTTGAGCATTGACCTATGAACCAGAAGGTGACGGCTCAATCCCCAGTGGGAGGCATGCAGGAGGCAGCTGACCAATGACTCTCTCATCATTAATGTTTCTATCTCTTCCTCCCTTTGTCTGGTCAATAAAAACATATATATATATGAAAATAGTTGCTCAAATAATTTTCTGTATTCAGTGGTCCAGATGAGGAACCATGATTGAAAAAGGCAGCATGCTGGTGCAGGGGCTCATGTTAGCCTTCCAGCCCATCTCAGTACATTAATTTAACTGGCCTGGGGCCCAATTCAAATGTCTCCTTCCCCATGAAGACTTTCAGATTCCTCCAAGTTGGAATTCATCTCTTTCTCTGTACCTCTCACAAAACCACTCCTTAGGCCTTATATTTAAACGCAACCATCTACCACTGAGCCCTTCTGCCCAGCTTGTGAGGAAGACAGGGACCAAGTCTGATCTGTGTCCTCAGCTCCGGGCAGAGTGTCTTGAATGGTGCTAAATTGGTGTGAGGAAACTGCTCTTTTTTTTTTTTTTTGGCTTTTTAAGAATAGTCCTTTCTGTCTTAACAGCCTCCTTCCCCAAACATTCATTGTGATGACCCTAAGGCAGCTGCTTCTGTCCTGGTCATGAACTGCAAGATTGGTCACCCCATTCTCAAGAGGTCATCTGTGAGTGTTTGGATTGGCTGACTCTTCTTACTACCCTGGAGTTGGTATCTCCTACTTTCCTGCCTGATTGGAACCTCAGTTGCGGCCCCACACTTCCCTTTACTGTACAGGCAACCCATAGCTGTGCTTAGAACTGCCAAGTCTGCTCTGAAAGTAGGGAGTAGTGGGTGGGGGATACAGCCAAAGACAAATTGTTGGCTCACTACAGTACAGCAGAGTGAAGTAGCGGGTAGGATGGAAGGATCATCAGATCCAAAGTTATCCGTCCTGAGGTGAGTCCCTGACATGCCACTGAGGGTCTTTGTGCTGTGGGAATCTCAGACGTTTCCTCAGTTGTAAAGGGGAATAAAAAGCTTCCATGGACTAGCAAATGCGGACGCATGCTATGATACAAAAATGTGAGGAATAGGAACTGTTTCCCAGGTCTGTCTAGTTAGTAGGAAGTGGTTTGAATTGTGAGTGGCATAGTGACCATTTTTATTTTTTTAATAGGCGAACTTTTCAGTAGTTTGGCAGCTAGAGGAGCGCACCTTTCCAAACAGGACAGCTGACATCACCGTGACAGTCACAAAGTAAGTAGTATGTGTGTCACAGCAGACAGAGGCTATGGCCCTGGGAGCGATCTCCCTCCCACAGGCATGCATAAGAGCTATGGCTCCCTAACTGCCCAGGAAGAAGGGAACCTCAGTGAAAGCACCTGTGTCCCCAGAGTTATCAAAGATACTTAAAACATTCTTGACACATCAAGTAAAATTATGGTATAGTCTGGTAGAATGAGCCTTGGACTGGAGTTCTAATTCTGATTCATTTAACTTTGGGAAAGCTCTCATCTGTAAAACCTCTGTTTGAGGTTAGGGTGGGGTACAGTATTGGGAAAGGGTTCTCAGATGAGGGTGATTCTGCCCCTCAGGGCAATACCTGAAATTTTTGATTGACACGAATTAGGGGAGGGTGCTACTGGCATCTAGCGGGTAGGACCAGGGATGCTGCTAAACATCTTACAATATTCAGAACAGCCCCTCACAAAGAATTATCTGGCCCAAAATGTCAATATTGTTGAGGTTGAGAAACCCTTCGAAATCAACAGGTTTGGTCTTCTAGAAACTCTTCCACACACTGCTTATCTCCAAGAGCCCTTTCTTTCTTCTTTTTCTTTTCTTTCTTTTCTTTTTCTTTCTCTTTTCCCCTCCTTCCCTTCCTTCCTTCGTTTTTATTGATTTTTGAGAGGGGGGAGGAAGAGGAATAGAGAGAAACCTCAATCAGCTGCCTCCTGCAAGCCTCCTACTGGGGACTGAGCCCACAATCCCGGCATGTACCCTGACTGGGAATCGAACCTGTGACCTCTTGGTTCATGGGTCAATGCTCAACCATTACTAAGCAACACCAGCTGGGCCAAGAGTCTTTTATCTGACCCTTGATGACCCTGGGAAGCCAAGGTACAAAGCAGGTGTGCTGTGCACTGACACTCTTATCTCTTAGTGCCAATGAAAGAAGGTCTTTGGTTAGAGAGACCCACAGGCTTCAGTTCCGGCATGCCTTCATTGCAGTTCTGCCCAAGTAAGTACCTCCAAGGGGCCAACACCTGCGCGGCAGCTTCAGGCATTCTCTCTTGTGGATGGAACTGGTGGGCAGGCTGGATATGGGCACTGCCTTTCTTTGAGAGGAGGCTGCTTAAAACCCAAGCTCCCATTAATCTCTAGGACACTAACAGGTGGGTTCTAGAAACCCATGGTACTAATGAAAGTACTAGTGTCAAGCAGTCTTGCTACAAAAGGGTCCTGACATGATGCTAAGGAGGAAAGAAGAGGGACCATGGGGTTGAAGTGGAAGGAGAAAACTGAGGACACTGAAGAATGATAATTAGATGTAGAACTAGCCCAAATACATACTACTCAAATATTCTACCTGATCTCAACTGCCCTACCACCAATTTACACTTTGACATTTAGCTTTGATTCCTCTTAAGGATCTGGTGCCCTCTGCCCTAGTGTACCCAACCGGTAGTATTCAGGTTCACTTAAAACAAGGGGGCGTCAAGGCCTAACACATGTCCTCTCAATTGCAGACCATCAGTGATGTACATGAACACAAGCCAGGGGCTTTCTGACTACAAGGAACTCTCCTTCAATGTAAGTGCTTAATACTTAACATTGCAAAGCTACAAGTGGCAAAGCAACACCAACTCTGACTTCCCACTCTTTACTTTGCAGATCCATGGGGAAAATTTCTTTGGAGCTGAATTCCAGCTGCAAATCTGTGTTCCAATCAAATTACAAGGGCTCCAGGTTATAACAGTGAAGAATCTGAAAAAGACTCAGGTACTTAGGGGTGGTTCTTTATCACGATTGCATCTCTTTTCAGGGTGACTATGGATTCTCAAAGGTATAAAAACTAGAGTTCCAGAAAAAGAGTAAAAATAAGATTAGTTAAGCTGGGAACACATTAGGAATAAATTATCAAAGTCATGTTCAGAAGGAATATCAACCACCCAACACTTAAAACAACATTTGTTTTCCTTCCCTAGATAAAAAGCAAAAACGCAAACCTTTTTAGTATCCACGGAGACATTTATTTTCCTGTTGAAAATCGCAAAATTCTATTTCTCTGTGACTGGCAAATAAGCTTGATAAATATGTAGCATTTCTTGCAATGTCTCCCTATAAGCTGTCAACCATATCCCTTTGCCCCCC